GTATTACCAAGAATTTCAGGGATTAAAATTTAGTAATGTGATTATTAAAATCTTCCATTTGTTATCCTCTTAATATTAAGTGGTATATAGAATTACCTCTATATTAATATAAAAATAGTTAATATGAAGTTAATTTACATTAGGTCTACCATGGAACCCAAGAATTATAGCACCATTAGAATTATTTTAAAAAAGGAACAAGGTGAAAAAATTGCTCCTTATATTTTCAAAATATAATAATTGTCTTTCGATTATCCTAAAATATATGTTGCTAATTAACAACCGTTGTCTCAATGACCAAATATTAACTTTTTTAGATAATTCCACTAAAGACAATTCCTTTTGTCTTCCAAATACTATAATCCAATTACCATGGGAAAATTCATCCCGCACTAAATTTGTTAATTTAGCAAAAAATATTTCTTTCTTTGCCATGTTATTATTAATTTGTAAATAATTAAAAGTTTAATTTCAAGTGGCCATTAAAATTATATTGATTTAGTGTAAAAATAATTATTGATAAATTGATAAATTTTAATGTCTATTTAATAACAAACTTATTTTATGAGATGAAATTTCATTTATGCTAATGATAAGTTAAAATTATATAAATTCTCCTGTTTTTTGATAAAAAAATAAGAAATAAAATTGATTATTGATAATGATCATTCCCTGAATAAATTCTTTTGATACAAATGTTGTATTTATAAGGATAAAAATGTATTCATTTTTGAATGAATATTTTTTTTTAGTAAATTATTTTGATAAATCTTTTTTGGCAAATTATTTTTTTCAAATTTTACATTACCAACAATTAATGGGCCTTTTTAAGTTCCAATTCCCTATCAAATAAGGATTTATAAAGATTATTAACTGACATAAATTTATTAGTAAGGAGAATATTATAAAAATATGGCTTTGTTATATTTATTTACAACAAAATATTCAATTATCATTAAAATTCATCATAAACATTCAATTATTTAAAAAAATCCATACTATAATATATACCACACCAATATTTAAAAAAAATTATGTCGTCAATATTCATTTCTAATTGTCTCATTAAAACGTTGCTGCAACTATCATTAGTATATCTGGCACTGCGATATATAGAACAGAAATAGGCGGCTTTAGGGAATTGTTGTTTAAAGGATTTTTTAATAATAATAAAGAAGATGAAAACATTGTCAATTTTAACAAAAAATCTTTAATCAACTTTAAAAAAAGGAGGTTTTTTGGTCATTTTTTATAGAATTTGTTTAAAAAAGGAAATTTCAAGTGTTACGAAAATGATTGCATATATAGACTATTTAAAGTTAAAGTTAACGTTAACATCAATGTCAACATCAATGTCAATGTCATCATTTACGTTAATGCTAATGTTAACGTTAAGTTAAGTTACGCACTGCCAAAATTTTTTTAAAACAGATGAAGTTCTATTTATAATAAAAGAAAGAAAAGATAAAAAAAAGCTTAAGCTGACTATGAATTACACCCCTTCCATCCCTGATTTATATAATAATAGATAAACTTATGTTTTTAAATAATTAAAGCCACTGTTAAATGTTTCAACATTTAATTAATTTATAAAAATAAATTTTTAAAATAGAATTAAGCTTTAGTTTAAGAACTGCCTTCTAAATTCGAGTAATAAAAACAAATATAAAATGAAGGAATGTTAATTGATCAAATTCATAATATTCTTTTGTAAAAAAAAAGCATATCATCCATTTTTTTATCTCTGTGCTTCATTAAGACCATCTCTTCCACTGACAGTGTAATTAATGGAAACCAAAAGATTGAATCAAATTGCTGACCATTTGGGCCATATATGGGACATGCTGCAACAAAACCAGACAAAGTGAGTCATTTGTGATGTGATCATAATTAATAGTTTTATAATATCCCATTTGTTACCTTAAGTGATATATAGAACTATCCCTATACAAAATTAATAATTACATTCTTGCTTATTCCCTTTTGCTAATTCCAAAACTCTGTCCGTATTCTAGTTTCATACTAACTATTTACTTTTCTGAACAATGAAAGTTTGGAATTTTTCCTTAGTTTTTTCTTTTACTTTGCTTACCAATTGTTTAAGTTTTCTCAATCTATTTTGATTTTGTTTCCCTGGTAAAGCTGGTAATTCTTGGTTTTTATTTCTTCAATAATTTGTTTTTTGTTGTTCATTCAACAAACTCCTTTCTAACATGCTTATTCGATTCAAAAGTTCCTTTTCCCTTGCATCACGCTTTTCAACTACTTCACCCATCTGTCATTTTCTCTCCATTTCATAGCTGTATTTAGTGCTTTTTCAGCTTCTTCTCTCTCCATTCATACTTCATCATCTAGTAATACCTTTCCATCAAGAATTTTAGTTTCAATTGGCTTTAACGTTTAATAAAGTTTTGACTCTTATATTTAGATCTAAAGTTACTCATCAGTTTAATCATCTGAATAATAACAATATAATAATATCAAATTAAAATTTAAAAGATATAATAAATATTAATATGTAAAGCTCTGATTCGATTCAAACCGAAAACTTTCGATTTGATTCGGTTTATAAAATGATTCGATTTCGGTTTTCTCTTAAATTGAATCATTCGGAACTTTATGACATTAAAAATTTTTTAAAAGTTTGATTTGATTCGAGTCGAATCGAATCACTTTAAAATTCAATTCGACTCATTCAGAGTCTTACTTATAATACCAACAAAAAGAAATTATACTTTTATTTATTAATATTGAAGATATTCTTGTTAATTTAGATCCAAATCCAATGTTGTCATCATTTTCAGAAAATATAAAAGATGAATTGAGTCAATCGGCTGAAAGGTGATGATTTAGTTAGCTTTTGTTCTAAAGGAACTATTAAGTCGTTTAAAAAAATGTTAGATTCCTGTTTTGAAGAAAATGAAGATAGTACTTTTATTTTGATATCTTCAATAAAAAATTTTCCTGGAGTCAACTATGAAAGTTGATTCTATCAATAGTGTGAAAAAAATATCAGAATTTTCTGAAGCTTAAACTATTTTTTGCTTATTTTTATTATCATGTAATTAATTATTTTTTAGTTTTTAAAAGCATAATATTGTTATTATTTAACTGGAATTTAATATAATTGATGTAAATTTTGGTTAAGAACACATAACCTCGAATTTCAATCAAAATAATTACAACATAATTAAAATTGTATATATCTGACTATTAATATACTAATATCTATTTCTTGAAATTTTTATCTATCAAGTTCCCGAATTAGTATTATTAAAATGTAATCGTATATTTTGGGAAGGAGGATTTTCGTCTTCGCTCTCAACACAAATCGTACTAATTCCTGCACGGTCTTTTTCTTTGCACGGAGTGAGTGAACACATTGGAAGTCTTTCATAGAGAGAACTATAATTTTCTTCAAACATATTGGTGATGTTTTCTTCATGTAATTTTTTTGACTAGTTCGATTGTATCTAATAAACAGAGCTATGCGGATAAAATCCATTAACAAATAATAATTATATAAATGTTAAAGAGACTGAATCAAATGAAGGTATGATACCTTTAAAGCCCATAATAATTTGATAAAGTTAAAAAAATGTATTCGTTGATTATCCCATTCGATGGGAACAATTACTTTATGAGCTCTTTCAAAGATTAAGACACCAGTTGCAGGATTAGACATTCTCCAAAATTATAAACGATCGTCTATAGATTGTAGAAATAATTAAATATCAAGAAATGACACTAAAGTATTTAATTGAAAGATAATTACCAAATCCATGTAAAAAAGACATTTGGATTTTTGAAAAAGTTTTGTGGGAAGCCTTTTTGTAACAATATGATATGTCTCACAACATATAAAAATTTCCAACCGCGCCTTTAAGATGATCCCAGGTGGATCGTGGTTTATCTATACAACCATAACCGCCACTTATTTCAACATGACCAATTTCAATATAATGATTTTTTAGGCACAATAAGAAAACACCATCTGATTTTTGTTCGTAATAACTTTCTTTTTTCCTTCTACGATATGATTCGATTGATGATAAAGCTATTTCTCCCCTTATATAAAAAGAAAGGTTAGTACTATTAATTAAGATAATGTCTAAAAATAACACTTACGGTTTATATATCAAATCAGCTTGTAGTCCAGATAGAAGTTTCATTAAACACATATCTATTACATACAATCTATATGTGCTTTCGGATATATTTCCACGTTGTATTATAGTTCCGTCAGGGTAGACAAATTCAAATCTATGGATGGTTAAAAAATTGAGAATTAGTTACAGCAAAAATAGTAGTTCAAGTAAGTTTTCTACTTACAAGTATATTAAAATTTCTATCGAAAAGGTTGTAATTGGGTCTTCAAGTCTCTGATTAATACTTTTCAATTTATTTTCCAATTCATTCGTATTATTCTGTGAACAAAAATAATTATATTTAGGAATGTCTCAATTCTAACAACAGCAAAAAAAAACGAAATTCTCAAAGTAATACCAGCTTGACAAGATCCTTTAATATTCCTGGAGACTTATATGGAATCCTTCTCTTACAGATTTGTTGTATTTCATTGTAAACAGTTTTTGTACACCCCGGAGTAATGAAATTTAGTTTAATACCTTCATAATAAATACAAATTACCAAATACAAATAGTTATATCTTTAAATGCCTCTAATCTTTATTCAATTTCTTAATTCAATCAAAGACCATGCCAAGTCTACCAATTCATCTTCATCAAGAACATAGTTGATCTGTTCTTGTACTGGATACCAAATAAATGTATTTTACAAGAACCGAGATAATGAATCCTATCTGCTTATCAAAACATAGTACATGTCCATTTTGGGCTTGATCATAATTATAATGTGCAATAGTCTTATCTTTTGTGATTGGATAATTCAGATCAACAACCTTTCTTTGCTCTCCAGCCAATTTGGTATCTTTGATGTAATTATGCTTTTGATAGATATTCTTTGTGTTTTTTTTTTTTTGGCCTCTTTCTTCCTCCTTGTGAGTTTGGAGTTTTAGTTGATGTCATAATTTACAAAAAACATATCCGAATATTCATCCTGTGAATTAATTAAAAAGTCACTTGACAATATTTGTTTATACTCTTATTTCTCATCCTTTTACACACTTTTATTATGGTGATTACAGTGTCAAAAAGTTCTAAAACAAAGTCGTTGTCAATTGTAATACGATTTAAATATAAAATTTCCTGAAACAAAAATCCCTTGAATTTGACTATTTTTATGATCTGGTTAATAATCATCGAGCCAATAAAAATTGATTTTGTGGATAGATAAAACTAGCCAATGAAAAAATTTAATTGATCAGGGAAGAAATTTTTATTCTGCAAAAAAAAATACACGTATAAAATAATAATAATGGTATGTTTTATAACAATATTTCATACGATAAATAAATCAGTAATAATTATATATATATATAATATTTTAAAGGTGAACTATATACTATTTGAAACAGCTTTTGGATACGCTTTATTTGAAGTATTAGAAACAGAAGAAATTGGTTCTAAACTTGAAGAGGTTCAGAAAGCAACAGAAGATTTGGTAAAATTCGGAAAATTGGTTAAACTCAAATCTTTTTCACCTTTTAGGAATGCTGTTCATGCTTTAGAAAATACTAACGATATATCAGAAGGTAGAAATTATGATGGTGATGTTTTTTTTTTTAAAAAAAAAAAGAGAATAAATCTTATTAATAAATTATTAGGAGTCGTAAATGATTTTCTTAAAGCTTTTTTGGAAATGAACCTTCCAAAACCAAAAAAAGAAAAAAAACATTGTATTAGGTATCATTGACAAAAGTTTGGCGGGATCTATTAAAACTGAATTGGGATATAATTGTGAGACTGGAGAACTTGTTCTTGAATTAATTCGCGGCATTCGTTTACATGCTGATAAATTATTGAGTCAGGTTAAAGGGGGTGAGCTTCACAAAGCACAACTCGGTTTAGGTCATAGCTATTCTAGGGCAAAAGTAAAGTTTAATGTTAATCGTGCTGATAATATGATCATTCAAGCAATATCTTTATTGGATCAATTAGATAAAGATATAAATACATTTGCTATGCGCGTGAGGTAATAAACTTTATACATTTGATATTTCTTTAAAAAGTTGTATATGTATAGTTACAATGTTCGCTGATTTATTTTAAATTAGGGAATGGTATTCATGGCATTTTCCTGAACTTGTAAAAATTGTGAATGATAACTATTTATATGCAAAACTTGCAAAATTTATTCGAAACAAGAGCGATCTTACTGAAGATAGATTGGAAGATCTTTTACCAATTGTTAATGACGAAGACAAAGCAAGACAGATAATTGATGCAGCACATTCATCAATGGGTACAGATATTGCTGAATTAGACATGGTAAATATCTGCCATTTTGCAGATTGTATAATAGATCTTGTTGAATATCGTAAACATTTAAGTGAATATTTATTGGATAGAATGAATAATGTCGCACCAAATCTGTCAGCTTTAATTGGTGAAGTAGTTGGAGCTCGATTGATTTCACACGCTGGAAGTTTAACTAATTTATCAAAATATCCTGCATCGACTGTACAAATTTTAGGTGCTGAAAAGGCTCTATTTAGGTAATTATTTTGAATTGATTCGATTTGACTTGATTATATAATATATTTACTGATGAATATACATCAATACATATAAAATAGAGCTCTTAAAACTAAGGGAAACACCCCAAAATACGGTCTTTTATTTCATTCATCATTTATCGGCAGAGCGGGTGCAAAAAATAAGGGTAGAATATCACGCTTCTTGGCCAATAAATGTTCAATTGCTTCACGAATTGATTGTTTTTCAGGTAATTAATATTGATTTGTTATATTTGTTTAATTGATCTATTTATACATACACACATATATACATACACATGTAACTCTATATTTAAATTTAAATATGGCAGAAAAAACTACTGCAACGTTTGGCGAAGCATTAAAAAATCAAGTTGAAGAAAGATTAAAGTTTTATGAAGATAAACAACAACAATAAATGATGAGGACCATCATAATTATTCTAGAACTCATGTGTTATGGTGTAATTGAGCGTAGAGCTAAAGCTCCGAACGATTTTGAGTTAATCTGCAAAATAAAAATAAAATAATAATACTATACTTTTTGATTTTTGGTTTTGAAGTTTAAACAACGTCGCGTTCGAGCTGTAGCTATTATCCAAAAAAGCTTGTGTATTAATTAAAAGTTGCTATTTAAATATGAAGTTTGAAAAGTATTGAACACAAATTATCAAAATGATCATTTTTCTTTATTTCATCATCTCACTCTTTAAGCAGTATCTATGTGTTGCGTTGACTTTTTTATTAATGAAAAAGTTTACTTTAGCACCCGTGGATTTTGGAAATTACAGTTTGCTCTATCTATTACTATACAGATTAGGAAAAATTTCCCGTTGTAGAGAGTCCATATAACATATAAATTGGGCCTAAATTCTCGGTCCATTATTATTATAGAGCAAGATTCGTTGTAGAAAGATCCTTTTCTTTAAAAATAAGAATATATGACAAGAAATAAGAAAAACAAAATAATTTTATTGGAAGCATGTATTTTCAGCTGCTTGTTTTTGTAGTGTTGACTAAATTTTGATTTGTTTGGAAAAGGAACTGTATTAAGGATTTTGGCATATCATTGGGTTAGTAGAGGCATTTTTTAGTTTTCAACATGAATTTGCTGATCAGGTGATTAGACTTACCGACAGGACACTTTACCGACAAGCATTGTGTTAACAATTTGCCAAGGACTGTGTGAAGACCTGGATAACTAGCTAAAAGTTTGGCTTTTTACAGGCAAGTTAAATCAACCGTTAATTAACTAATAACACAACTTATTATCCTTACTTTGCATCAAAAACCAGTTCATAAAAATACAATATAGATACATGTGTAATATATATTTTTTTTGTCTAACGAAATTGATAAAATTGCATATTCATGTTTTTTTTATTAAATTTATTTATCACAAAATTTTTTTAAAAAAAATAACATAAAAAAATTTTAAAATGAAATATTATGGGCAATGCCCGAAGAAACTCTATAGTTAATCTAATGTTACGGTCATTTAATGCTGTTTTAATCCGTATTTCACGATTGCGATCTTGTGGTTTCTGTGAAGGTCGTGGTGTTCCTCGCAAGACCATTTGTCAAGTCCGACTTTACTTTGATTGTCGATAAAGTGTCCTGTCGATAAAGTGTCTTGTCGGTAAAGTGTCTGGGTCCGAAATATTATATAAACTATTAGATGAGATAATACTCATATTAGAAACCTCTATGTCGTTTTGATCATTCAAAAAATTATCAGTTTGTCCATTAAAAATCATTTTCGTTGTCATTAAAGTACTCACCATAATAATTATTGCTACCTAGTTTACTATACAACTTTTACTAAGAATATTATTATTACCACTGTTATTATTATTATTCCCTAATTATATTTTTTTTACAAAAAAGAAAACCAGCCAGCTGACATCACTAAATAGGATTTAAGGTATGAAAATCAAATTCCGTATTATTTATACACAGACGCTGTCCTCTACACTCTCTTTTACTTTCTCATTTTTATCAAAAAAAAAAAATATTTTGTCCAGCCGTTTTCAATCTTGATTGGGGACTATGGGTACAAAAAATCAAATTTTTTACCCATACCAGCATTTCAAACCATCGCCTGCCATACACTACTCTATAACCTCGTTCTCTTAATAGATTTTCAACATGATAATTGGTATTTCTTGGAACCTATCCAATCATAAAGATAATAAGTATCTCTTATATTCCACGTTAGGTATTATAGGTCTAGGCACAAATTTATTGTGCTCTGAAATCGTCTTAGCGATACACAATGCGTATTGCTGTGGAGTCTCGGGATTCTTTATCTTGTGAGGAGTTATACCTAAAAATTTTTTTCATCGGAGTATTACCCTTCCTTACTACTTCCCAAATTCTTTTCGATTCTGCTTCTTATAATTTATCCAAGCTTGTTGTATAATTCTTATATGGCCAAAATCGGTTTTATGTCTAGAACATTCACAATCCCAATGTTTCTGCATCAGGTCGCTAGATTCGAGAATTTCTACATATCTGCTTCTAAAGTGGTTAAATATTCTCCTAGGTTTTGCATTAACATTAACACAATCAGTTTCCAACATCTGAAGTAGATTGCAGTTCCATTCTTAAATGGTTCGGGTCTATGATAATTATAATCTTCTAACATACCTTTGAGATAAGAAGCAAATATACAGAAGTGATGGTATACATTAAATCTTTCCTGAGATATATTAAATCTTGAAGACCGGTTCTAAGTCGCACCGCCCATTGAATAAGGTTTCCATTCTGTCGAACGATAGACAAGTAGTCATATAATCAAAGAGTTGCCTTAAGTGGTTACTTCTAGAACCATGATAATTCAAGATATGTGAGATAACATATTTCATGTCACATTCTGATCTAATATTAAAGGATTCAGAAACGTTCTTTCTTTTTTGTCGATGATAGTATGAATGGTAAAATCTGACATATTTAACAATTATAATAAGTTTAACGATTTTTATACGACCTAGGGTTGCCTTCTGAAACTCATGAGTTTAGAATTAAACCCATTCTAAACTGGTTTAGAAAATGAGCCTTAATTTCTAAACTGTTCGAAACTCCTAAACTGTCTAAAAATCCCAAATCAAACAAATATTCTTAATCTTTATTTTTTATTTTTGCTTATTATTATTATTACTCATTATTAATAAAGTTTTTAAAAAATAATAATTTTTTACATAATTTGGTGGAGGTGAAATTCTAGGAATTGCATCAAAATCAAATACTTCTGGATACCACAAGTCACAAAAGCCTTTAAAATTGAATGATCAATAAATTCCAGCACATTTTTTAATAATATCTCATCTTTATCCCAAAAATTAGCAAGTGATTGTGCATTTGCTTTATATGCTGCATTTACCAAAGATTCACTACTTACACCATCTCTTTCTGCAACAATATACATATATCTTTTTTGATATATTCACATTCATGTGCTAAATGGACTTGCAGTTTATTAATAACTCCATTACTCCATTTACAATTACATGTTTTGCATTTGGCTCCAAAATGTCCTGGATGTTTTGAAGGATAACATTCAAAATATTGCCAAACTGCATTTTTGAACTATTTATATCTACATTAATATTGTGATTAAAAAAAATTTATATATATTTTTAAGAAAGAGAAAAATTATATTAGAACAAATAAATAAATTATTATATTTTTGTTGATTTAAACTAAACCAATGATTGAATTAATTGATTGATTAATTGTCAGAACAATAATGTCAAATAAAATAAACTTTTGATAAAAACGTTCACTTGAAGAGAAAATGATTTTGATTATCATGGTATTAATTTTATGGATAGAAAATCGGAAAAATTCATTGATTCACGGAAAATATCTGAAGTTTTGAAAATAGATTAGGGTTTCTAAACTAGATTAGAAAAGAGGTTAAAGTTTAGAAAGGAAACTCTAGATGTAAGAGACAAGTTAGTGTAGAACAAAGAAAAAAAACAAACCTTAAACTTGAATATTAAATAGAAATTTTGGCCGCAAAATTTCACAAGAATATACAACCTTTGAAAAGATATTGACATCTCATACACAAATGCTTCATTGTCTGATAAAAAAGTTGAGAATTTTTAATAAACTTCTTATACATATCATATTAATATATTATATTTTAACGGATAGGTTGGACAATTAGGAAATTTTTTCCAAAAATCCACTATGTCGAGAAGGTTTTTATTATGGAACCGTTCTTGAACTTTTATTCGTAAAACCGAGATTTTTTAATTAGTACTAGTACCACTAAATCGAGATTATTTCTGATTGTCGTACGCCACCAGATAATCCTTTTTTTTTTTTTTGGTAAAAACATGTACGCGTATGATGATTATTTATTTTCTTTAGAATGTTGGGTTAAAACAATTAACGAAATTGATGAAAGGAAAAAACATTTACACAACAAGAGGTATTTAGTTTATTTGTGATAATATGTAATTATAATTATTTTTTTTGAATTAAAATAAAGATGACAATAATAATATATAACAATAATGATAATGATAGCAGTAGATATATGATAATTATGGAAGTAATAATAACACCAATAATAACAGAGCTAGAAATGATAATAATAATAATAACAGTAGTAGTAGATATGGTAACTACGAAAGTAATAATAATGGAACTAGAAACAATGACAATAAAGATAATAATAAGTAGTAGCAGATATGGTAACTACGGAAGTAATAATAATAGAACTAGAAACAATGATAATAATAATGATGATATAACGATAGTAATAATATATATGGTAATTATGGAAGTAATAATAACACCAGTAAAGCTATATAAGAATAATGATTATGATGATGATGATGATAATATCAGCAATAATATATCAGTAATGATAATGACAGTAGTAGTATTGTAGTAGATATGGAGGCAATATAACTAGAATAATAATAATAACAATAATAATAGTCATGCTAGTAGCTACAATAATAGCAACAATAACATTCACGGGCTCAAAAGAAGGACAAATCGGGAAGGTTATGTGAAATTCGTGAATTATTGAAAGTTGATGAAAAAATATATGATTTTTACTTGATAATCTTTTATACTCTATATGAATTTATTTATAATTATTTACATACTTTATTAAAGGATTATTCCTTAGAAATAAATATTATATAATTTTCTATATGGATAACCCTTTTTCTTTTTACTACAAAAATAATGCTTGATAAATTTCCATATGGCAGGATTAGCACTCAATGTTTTATGTATGATGCTACATTAACTTAAATTCACCAATGACCGCAATACCAAGAAGCATTTGCATATAATGCAAATTATCAGCATAACAGGATCTGGACAACAACCACATAATTTTTTCATCGCAAGCAGATAGTGCCAAATAAAGTGGTATGCCTTAAAACGAGGTTATGAAAATGCATTGTGTATCCTCAATAAAGACCAAGGACCAAATGTTTTACGTCCTCCCAATAGATATAATCATAACGAATTCTGGCTACAAACTGGTAATTTTTTATTATTTCCATGATTGTTTAATTTAAAACAACATATTTATTATTCTTGGATATGTTCTAAATGGCATATATATAGAAGATAAAATGTAGATTGTCATCGTCATCCAAGTAGAGATAAAAGAAGAATGCATAGATATTGATCTTGCTCACTATCAAGAGATCGTAGATCTCGTTCTCATTCTCGTTCTTGAGATCGTCGAAGTCATCAAAGAAATAATCACCAACATTAATTATTTTAACTGGCTTAAATAAATAGTTTTAAAATTTATCTTTATATTTTACATATATATCTGTTTTTTTTAATTATATTAATGTCGATTGATCTTTACGTAATTCTGTTACACGATCAAATTCTCTGACAGACCAATCCATTTCTAGTTAGCTAGCCAATTTCATTATTACTGACTGACCTGAGTTTTGGGTGTCACCAGAGATGATTATTTTTTGGCTGCCTTGATGAAATATCAGCTGTTATCACAAGCGATAAGTGATGCATTCCATGTATCTAGGGCATTTATATTGATTGAATAGTCTAATAGTGCATAAGCTGGTGTACCAAGTTTTCCTTTCCCTACCCCTTCAATGAGAAATGCAGTTCCATTATCAGCCGCCAACTGAAATAGTCGCGTAAAGAAATTCCGATGGCGGAGAATTTCCCTGAAAATAATGAAATGATTTCAACCCTACGGGTTGATTTGTAAGTGCATAATCACAAGTACTATAACGTCCTCTAAAAAAGTAAAATGGATACCAACAAGTGGTGTCACACGTTTCTTTATTTGCATACTAATATTACTTTCCTTTTAGCCATAGCATAAAAAAATATAACTTGGCTGATGACTTTATTGAATTATATCAAGCCTTGCGCAAAATTTATGTTAGGCTTTATGATATTAAATAGTGTTGGTCGTCAAAACCATTTGAAGAGGCAACAAAAAAAATTCGAGTGATAGACGTGTGACTAGGGTTGCGCTGGTTCAGATTCGTTTTTTTTTTTTTCAGGAAACCGAAAGACCGATTCCAAAACCATCGTTTAAAAGTATTTAATGTTATAGGAACATTAAATTTATTTATTTATTATACATTTTATTTGGTATCCATGACTTTATGTATTTATTTAACTCGCACTTTATTTAAATTATTAACAGAAGAGAGATTTAATCGTGTTCGGATAGAATTAATTTGAAGGGTCATTCGCATCATTCTTAAAAGCTTTCGATTAAAATCGAAATCCAAAATCGAAATGGAAATTCGAATTTTATTGAATGAATGTACGAGCTTTTATTTAAAATGGCATTTAGATTAACGATTTCTCTTCTTGGAATCATCTCATTTATTTATTTACACGATGTCATACACATTTAATTTGTATCGATCGAACATCGTCGTCTCTAATGAAACATTATGTATATATAAACAACTCGAATTGACAATAACTGTCCTTGAATAAAGAGCAAGATTCGACGTGAGAAATAATCAAATCATATCCTATTCAGTTGGATCATCATAATCTATTATTTTTATCTTCATCAAATTAAATTCGCCCTAAAAATTAATCGGTGACATGATTAAAAAAATGAAATCATTCGTTACACAAAGGCCAGGTTCCAGACTCTTTCAAAGACTTATAGAATTAATTCTTTCTACATATTATATTATGAAAAAAAATTTTTTTTTGATCAGAAGTTTCCGCCAGAAATCAATTTTAAATATTTATTTATTGAACAGCTGAACTATGATACTCATAACCATATTTGGTCCCTATTATGTATTATACCAATGCATGATATAATACTGTATAATACCATATTAATATTAATATTAAATGTTAGTATTAATATAATGCGGTATCTTGGTGCATACTAATAAAATTGGTAAAATTAAAATATTTTTATCCTCAATATTGATCAAGTTATGTAGGCATATGGGATTGTGAAAAAGAGAACAAGGATTAAAATTTTTATCTTTTGCAAGTAAGTTTCATGTGAAACATTAAGAAGTATTTAAACACCTTAAATTCCTTTGAATAATACTCAATAATAAATTGCAATAAAACCATTACATAATAAAAATCATATAATAAAACTATCGATAATCAGAAAATCACCCTTGTTTAATTAATTACCTATTAAACCATTGTTTCAAGACTGCGTTATAATTATCACGCTAAAGTCACGATATCCGACAATATTACATTCATCAAAATAAAATGGGAAAACCCAAAAGTGAAGTTTGGAGACATTATACTATATACGGCACCGAGACAAATGCTCCGACAGTAAAATGCAATTATTGTGATAAAACATACAAACAAGGAGTTGCAACAAGGATGCAAGCACATTTGAACGACGAATGCAACAATGCCCCAGAAAATTCAAAAGTGAAAAATAAAAAACCTTTGGCTCGTTCTTTTGAAAATACAGATATATCATTATCTTCCAATACTTCTAAAAAAAATAAAAATTCAATTACACTTGACGATTCCTTGGATACAATGTCAGGCGAAGAACAAAAAAAATTAGAAATAATGCTGGCTAAAGCATTATACTCGAGTAATATTTCAGCCGACTTTATAGAAAATCCTTATGTGGTGGAACTTTTTAAGAAATTAAAACCATCATTTAAATTACCCAATAAAAAATCACTTTCTGATGAATTGTTAGATAACATTTATTATGAATCTAAACATAATATAGAAGAAGTTATTTCAAATGCACAAAATTTAACTTTGGTTTATTGTTCTGTCACATTCTGATCTAATATTAAAGGATTCAGAAACGTTCTTTCTTTTTTGTCGATGATAGTATGAATGGTAAAATCTGACATATTTAACAATTATAATAAGTTTAACGATTTTTATACGACCTAGGGTTGCCTTCTGAAACTCATGAGTTTAGAATTAAACCCATTCTAAACTGGTTTAGAAAATGAGCCTTAATTTCTAAACTGTTCGAAACTCCTAAACTGTCTAAAAATCCCAAATCAAACAAATATTCTTAATCTTTATTTTTTATTTTTGCTTATTATTATTATTACTCATTATTAATAAAGTTTTTAAAAAATAATAATTTTTTACATAATTTGGTGGAGGTGAAATTCTAGGAATTGCATCAAAATCAAATACTTCTGGAACCTGGCCTTTGTGTAACGAATGATTTCATTTTTTTAATCATGTCACCGATTAATTTTTAGGGCGAATTTAATTTGATGAAGATAAAAATAATAGATTATGATGATCCAACTGAATAGGATATGATTTGATTATTTCTCACGTCGAATCTTGCTCTTTATTCAAGGACAGTTATTGTCAATTCGAGTTGTTTATATATACATAATGTTTCATTAGAGACGACGATGTTCGATCGATACAAATTAAATGTGTATGACATCGTGTAAATAAATAAATGAGATGATTCCAAGAAGAGAAATCGTTAATCTAAATGCCATTTTAAATAAAAGCTCGTACATTCATTCAATAAAATTCGAATTTCCATTTCGATTTTGGATTTCGATTTTAATCGAAAGCTTTTAAGAATGATGCGAA